TAATAATTTTGATATTGTTATAGTCTATTTTTATGTATGAGAGAGTATTAAAATAATAAAGCGTTCGTAATCCATAGGCGTAGCACTTCTTTTAGTAGACAGTGAAAATATTTTTTGAAGTTATTCCTCGAGTATACACTTATATTTTCACCTAATTAACCTGCTTATAACTTCTAAACAGCTGAAGGTAAAAAAGTGCAATTTTTTCTAAAATGTTTTATTTTTCCACAAGGTATGTTAAGAACATTGTGTCAAACGGGTTATGTAGGTATAAGGGTTTAAACTTTGACTTTTAAATAACGTTACGTTCATAAATAATAATTTTAATATAAAAACTACTTCTTACCTAAAAATCCAAATCAGAATCGAAATCAGAAGATGAACTGTCGCAACCAATATTTACAGTGAGTGGCTCGATCATTTCATCAGTAATATTGTCCAACTTCCACATTTTCTCTTCTTCTTTAATCATATGATTTACTGCCTTTTCCCAGTTTTCAGGCTTCACATTATTTACAGCCTCCAAAAACAACTATTTAACATCACTTATTTTAAAAGAATTATTTTTTCTTGAAACTTCTCCCTTTATCTGTGCCCATATCAGTTCAATCGGGTTTACTTCGCAATGATATGGTGGTGATCTAACCACCGTCATCCCACGATTTTTTGCAATTTCATCAATTTCATATTTTATGAATTTCTCTTTATGAAGGGAACACAAATGATACAGTTCTTTTCTCACAGAACTGGGATGGAACTTAATATTCTTTGAATTTAGCCAATTCTGTAAATCTTTTTTTAACCACTTGGTTGTGGGCATTTTTTCTATAAGTCTCGAGTGATAACTTGCATTATCCATTACTATTATACAGTTCTGAGGAAGAAGATCTATAATTTGTTCGAACCACTCTTTAAAGACATCAGCATTCATGTCCTCATGGTAGTCACCGGTACGAGTAGATTCAAAAGTCAATAAACCACCTTTAACAAAACCGTTTGAACTACCGATGTGTACTATTATTAGTCTGCGCCTCTTTCCTGATGGTGGATTTAAACCAGTAGATAAATTATTTAAAAAAGCCTGTCTTCGACTTGTAATAGTTTCATCTTGCCAACATTTATTTGGTTTATGTCCCTCGTTGATCCATGTTTCATCTAAATAAAATATATTTCTTCTTTGGTTTCTCATTTCTTTTATAGTCCTTAGGTAATTTCTTCTCCATACTACAATATCGCTTCTTTCTATTAAAATAGACTTTCTGGAATGCTTTTTCCGTAGAAAACCTATTTTTTTTAAAAGTTTCCATAGTGTGCTTCGACTCATTTCAGGGTAATCCTTATCATCTCGAACCGTGGCAAGAACTTTGTCTACTGTCGGAAATTCTTTTCTAAAGAAGAACGCATGCACTTTCCTTCGAAGTCTTTCTTTCAAAAGATTTTCTAATTGAAATTTTGGTTTTCCTGGAGCTTTACGTGCTGTTTGAAACTCGCCACATTTCTCTTCTTTAACAACTCTGTAAATCATAGATTTCCCAATACCAAGCGTACTACTAACTAATTCCACTGTGTCATCAACACTTTTACATAAATGTTTGTCTGTAAATGATTTAAAACAATTAAATATTAATGTTTTTTCATTAACTGTTAAAGGACCGATTTTTTGTCGTTTACGCGGCCCTTCCAAATTTTCCATGATCACACTAGAATTCATACTGCACCTTGCAAGTTGCAACTAAACGACATTTAGTAAACTGTCAATAATACACAACTTGGACCTCCTTACTAAATGGAAAACCTATAATCGCATTTTCGGTGAAATTTGTTGGGAAGGTATTTATCTACTTATAATTCGATTACTGTGAGAAATTCTTGGAATTAAAATAATACAAAATTGGCAAATAAGTACTTATTGAAAATAATCTTAAGATATGGCTATGTAATCTTTAATACACAGGGCATTTGGCCTGTCCAAACCTTTTTCTAGTGTTCTGTACAGCTTATGTTTATAAAGGACTAATAAAAGACCCAAAACTTGTAATAGCTCAGGTACAGGGTTTTTCATTATATTTTGACCATACTTACTTTCATTATTATTGCGAATACAAAAAAAGTTTTAAGTATAAGCTTTGTTGTTTTACCCGTACCGATTAAAAATGTAATAACTGGCAGAATTGTATATACAGGGCGCCCCCAACAAAATATAATTTAATTTTTTTAATGGGACACCATATATATTTTTGTCATTTTAAGAAAACTTTCATTTCCTGATTACAAATATATAATATTTTAATTATTAGTGACTTATTACACTATGAAAGCGTAACTCATAGATGACTATGAAAATGATGTTTCCAAGTGAAACAGTTGTTTGTTTATTAAAAGTTGTCAACTGATTGCTTGTAATGGGTTATACTATGGCCGAAAAAGTTGAGGAAAAACAACAAAGCTTTTACTTGGAACTTTTTTCGTATTCACAAGAATAATGAAAATAAGTAGTGGTCAAAATATAATGAAAAACCCTGTACATTTATTACACTTTTAGGAAATATTTAGATTATTCTGTAAAAATATTTAAAATGACCGTACTAAGTTTTACATTAGAAATGCTGTTTTATTACTCTCTCATACATAAAAATAGACTATAATGTTGTCAAACCAAAACCTTGAATAAAAATAATGTTATAATTAAAAATGTTATTTACTGTCATTTTTCATAATTATTATTTCTAGAGATAATTTTTTACACTTAATATGTCCTTAACTCGATTGAAACTTTAGGAATTAGTTAAAACGTCCAGTAAGAAACTGTAAGATATTAAAACACCTGAAGTTCGATAAAAAGGTAAGATATAATTTGTATTTGCGAAAAAACATCAAGAAAAACTGAATTTATAAGATAATAAAATAAAAAAATTGAGTTGATGTTTGCTTTAAAAAAAACGACTCGCACATGCACTAAACATAAAAATAACAAAACAAGTGGTAAGGTCATTTAAAGTTAAACGTAAGAACAGTAGATTCTACGAGTTTCAGATTTTTATCTGGCAGTCAACACATTCATTATATAACCTGAACAATGCAATTTTTGAAAATTTCAAAACTTCAAGCAAAGTTTTTTTTGCAAAGAGTTGGCTGCTCAGGTTGACTTGTGGCTGTATTTTACCTATGATATATACACTTAATTCCTGAGGAACATAAGCTGCTATGTCTAAGCAGTTAAGACGCTAGAGTCTATTGAAATTCATGAAAAATTATTAAAAAACACTCATTTTCAGCATGCTGCCGTTAATCAGAGGTATTGACTGAGCAAATTATCGATGCTTACACTTAAAGAAAAATTTCAGAGGAATAGTCGATAAGGCTTAAAAATATCGATTTTTTAAAAAGTCTTTATTTAAATAGGGGGAAACGAGTGCTTATAAAAATCAAACTCGTGTAAATTTTCTTCTTTGAGTCCCTAAGGAATAGTTCCTTGAAGTTACACAAAAATCTAAGATGGATCAGCTTTGCCAATTAGACAATTTTAAATGGAATGACTCGACAGGAAAAAATACCAGAAACCATCGGCATGTACAACTAAAGAGCACAAAATATATTAATGGCTGGTAGTCAAGTTTTTTAAAGAGAGAATGAATAAAATTTAAAACTAATTTTATCAGATACCTATTAATATTAAAAATGTGCAAAAATACCTAATATTAATATTCTTAAAAATTAATTTAACAGAATCAATGAAATTGTTTCTTTCATTGCCTTTATTTTCTCTGAAGTCAGTATAGTTACTTACAGTGAATAGTATTAAATTTTTATTTTCATTATTTAAAATACATTTTAATATGCAGGGCCACTCCCACCATACAGGTGGTCGGATATGGAAAAACAAAATATATTTTTCTTAATAATATTGTTATACCTAATCTGCATATAGAAAAATTAATTACTTATGTATCCTTAGAATTATTATTTATTGTGTTTACTAGGTACTTATGCAAATTTGTTTATATTATTGTCTTAATTCATTAATTTGTATTATTTTAAATTTAAAACAAAACATCTGGTATGCAAATGATGTTTAGGTGAGTGACCTATCTCCTTGTACTTAAAAAGGGACAATATAAATATAATAAAAATTAAGTTTAGAAGATAAATCATTGAATATTAAACATGTTTAAAAAGAAAATTTACATTTTTATGGCACCTTATTATAAATTTATGATACCTAGTTAATATTTGTTTTAATTAAACACATCATATATAAATAATAAAGTTGTGACAACAAAACCTAGATTTGCATACTAATTTTTTTATCTATACAAGTGTGATACATAAGAAATATTAAAATACCCAAAAGGGTTTAACTGAACCTAGGGTTATTTAATTTAGCAGTACAAAACAAGTACCTATTTTTATGTTTTAATGAATTGACTAAGTTTATAGCTTTCTAGCTAACTGTGAAATAGATGAAGGTTAATATTGAGATAAAATCCAACTCAAAGGAGAATTTAGTAGCAATAAATTAACATTAACGTCCTACACCGACTGGCACATGCAAAATTTGCCTCCTGCCTCTTTTTTTAGGTCAATGTGACTCATCGTAAGCAGAAAAAAAATTGATTAAGATTTAAATATAAAAATCACATCATTGTAGTCAGAAAAGGCAAGGAACTGCATAATATTAAACCTCTATTAATAATGAAATTAGTGCAGGAAAGTATACATACATTTCAACGAAGAAAAATATTGATAAGTCGTAGAGTTCATTCATGAACAAAAACAAAACTAAAACTGAGATTTTTGCAAAACTACTGTACAGGAAAATCATTCCTCCGCTCGGTGTTATGATAATAATACAAAGAGTAAATAAATTCTGTCCATTTAACGTAAATACTATCTATAAATAACTTGGAACTTGGGTTGCAGTTGTAGGTGAAGAGCACACACAACACCCACACCATGATCATTTTTATAAAATAAATTAATATTTTTTATTTAAGACTCACCGAAATAACATCTATATAGGTCACTTTAACACAAAAAACACTAACAAATCACAGTATTTTCAGAAAAACTAGAACTTTTGCTTTAGATTGTTTTATTATTTCATGGTTATGACAAAATTTCACTGTCAATGTAGTTACACCAAGTTCACCACCAGATGTCACTTAAGTAATTCAATTTGACGGCTACTGCGGGACTTTTAAAATATGCCAATTTTTTTTCTAAATTTCAAGTCTCGATATGGTTTTCCCCATTTTTTTTTCTAATTCTCGATTAATATATTGTACTGAAAATCAAAATGACTTGTGCGAGATGTGGTTGTGGAGTATTCAAAGCAGAAGATCAAATCATTATGAATAAAGTATGGCACAAGTGTTGTTTTCGTTGTAGTAAGTTCCTCTATTTTTTGACTAAACTATATTAATTCGGTGAAAGGTTTCATTGTTAATTCGTTAATTATAAATGTTACGAAATTATGATAATCTTAATCGATAACTTTCACCACCTTTCTACGAAGTAACACATAAAGGATCAAACATGGTGAACATGTAATAATCTAAAACATATAAGAATTAGAAACCTGTAATAAAAATATAGATGCAAGTTAAACTTGTCATTTATAACAGTAGATGTCGGCATCTGTAATATGGGTAAAATAAATATTAGCTTAGATTAATTATTTGAATTATCACACCCTTCGCTAATTTACTGATTTGAATGAATTATGAAAGTATAACAAATATTAAAGTCTTATCTTCATTATAATTTTTTGATGACAATAATAATAAAAACTTTTTTGGAGGTTTGCAATAATTCGAGTAACTTTTATAGATGGCAGTGATGGCACCATAAATCGTGATGTGAATGTCAATTTTGAAAAGTGTCCAAAATTGAGATTTAATTTTTAAAAATTTTCAGTAAAAAACATTCCTTTTTAGATAGATGTAATAAAGTACTAGATAAATGTTCTGCAAAACTATTTCAAGGCGAAATATTTTGTGAATGCTGTCATGCGATTGTTTTGGAAGATTTTGAAACTTTGCTAAGACCCTGTCGTGTAGTTTCTTCACCAAGTTGTATTTGCATAAAGCGAGAAAGTCAATATATAAATAAAACTCCATCTTTTGACTATTCGAAGAAGTACGATATATGTTTTCCATCGGAAATAAAGAATAATTTAACGAGAAATATTCAGTCATGCAGTTGCATTCCTGATGTAAAAAATAAGGCCTATTGTTTTGCTTTTCCTATGCCCAGAGAAGTGGCAAATTATTATAATAGGACAGGTATGAGGAGAAGAAACCGTTATGCGTAAGTATTTTTTAAAATTTTATTATATTATAGTAAGGACGCTTCGGGTAAAATACACATATGTTATTAATAGTGTGGGTGATTGCACTACAAATTAAGAAGAGATAAATAATTACTTGCTATCTCTCTCTGTATCTGTATCGTGTGAAGGATCGGTTAACCCACGGCATTATCTCTGTTGCAAAGTTAAGTTTTTTAATTATAGGAGCTCTGGAGGTTTTAATTCCATTTTTAACATTTTTCTTCTGAAAACGTACATTTGTGTCCTATTGGGATTGATAGACAGTCCTTATACCACTATTCTATAATTGAAGGGAATAAAATGATAAGCCACATCATTAATTTATTAAGAAGACACATCTTCAAACGTTAAATTAAACTTCTATAACCACTACAACTTTGAAAAAATTCAATTATTTGATTTTTCGGCTATTTATGGTATTTGTTCGAGAATTTCTATTTGTTTCAAGCTTCTGTAACCTTATTTTTTATTGTCGTGAAATAAAAAATTCCTTCATTTTAAAAAGTGTGACATCATGTTTTTACAATAAAACCTTCAATTTTGAGAGCCACTTACCTTCTTTCACAGAATATGTAGCCTTAAAATAGCATTAAAATATTTTAAAAACAGCCTTAAAATTGCCTTAAATAGTCCTAAAATAGTCTTAAAATAGCCTTAAAATAGCCTGAGAATATCACTGTCCCATTTCAAAACTGTAACATCTCAAAAATTTTAGGATTTGAGATAAGAATGTATTCTTATAGCAAGTAGGGCAAGATCTATATACAGTTCAACACATATCTCAAAAGATTTTGTTTCCACATTTTCATCTATAAAATATTATCTTTATAGTTCTCAAAAACGCCACACAAGCAACGACAAATCAGACCACAGTCAAAAAAACAATGACATGCAACCCACTATAAGAATTAGAACCATCACGCCCCCAAGGAAAAGAGGTTCGCCGATCAGGGTTCGATGTCCTTATCCCAGGGAAGAAAGTCCCCAAAGAGGCCCTCAGGGATATACCTGCTGTTCGAAATATAATTGTCGTCCTTGTAGTAAGTGCGATGCAGAATGTCCACGTTATACGCTTCCTGTCCGTGAAAATTCAGTATCGTGTTGTGCCTGTAGGAAGTGTCGAGAATATCGCTGTAAGGAGCTTGATGGTAAAACTAGACATCCTTCGCCTCCAAGAAGGTAAATCGAATTTTAATTTGTTGTTTTATTCTCAACTAAAGATTTGACAATTGAAAATTATTTCCATCAATGAAATATAAATGTAGATATTATATGTAGTAGATTAATATTTAAAAAAAAAATACTACTGGAGTACAGGCATCGCATCCTAATTTGTCAGTAGTGGGGTAAAGTTTGCGCACTGCTGACACACCTTCAAACGATCTTACTGGCTAGTATTAAAGCTCAGTAGCGTATACTACTTTCGCTTAAAATAAATTTTCTAGGATTTTTAAAACGATCACGATCAGATTAATCACGAAACTTTAAGAAAATTACCTAAAATTTTAATCCTTAATAACGGTCAAATCGAGTCAGCCCTCGTTTCTAAGAATGGCTATCATTTGATGGTATTATAGGAAATACCAGATTACATACACAATGGATCAAACGCAACTATGTAAATAGGTTTTTAAGTACTATAGAATTTGTTAAAATTTATTTTTTATCTATGAGCTAAAATGTATTCTGTTAAAAAAATTTATTGGGTGAAAAAAAAGGTGATTTTGCACTTGATATCTTTAATATTTTAACAAAATGTGAGGTTGAAGTAGAAGTGGCGAAAGTCATCAGCATACAAATATTAAAATAAGACAACGAGGATTTTTTAAAAATATGATATAGATCAACAAATACTGAATTTATACTAACCTCTATTTCTTGTTGCTATAACTACTATCAAACAAAATAAACATAAACAAATTAACAGAGTTCTAAAACATTGTCATCAAAATCATCACCATCACTAGAACTATCACTGCTGTCTTCATTAACATTAATAATAATAATAATAATAATAATAGGAATTACAACGTCATCCATTATAATTTCGCGATCTAAATATTTATCTTCGACATCTATTACATGTGCACATCTTTTTTTCCAGTCTTCTTGGGTTACTGATTTAAATTCTAATTCAGCTAACATTTGTACATGAACTGGGGGAATACACAATCACAGAGAAGGAAACAGTAAGGGAACTCTTCAGGGTTCACTTCCCTGGTGCACAAACCATAGCACACACACCCGCTAACCGGAATCTAAACGGACTGGAAGCTCATAATAGAGCCAACAGGGAGGATTGGAGGATAGCCAAACAAGTGGTGAACTATGATAAACTGAAATGGACAATTAGCTCATTCGAACCATATAAATCACCGGGCCTGGACGGGATTTGTCCAATAATGTTACAAAGAGGTCCTGATATTTTATACAGCAGACTCTGTAACATACTCAGAAGTAGCCTGGCCTTTGGACACATATACCAAAAGCTTGGAGAAATATTAGGGTAACTTTTATACCAAAACCTGGGAAAATGGGACAGGAAACGGCAAAGTCCCTAAGACCAATAAGTCTTATGTCCTTTGTACTTAAGACCAGTGTTGCCGCGACGATTTTTAAAATTGTACTGAAATTTTTTGGAAAATGTACTGAATTTGGAAAAAATGTACTGAATATAATTATTTTTTGTGGTAGAATCACAGCTTATACAATACAGCTCCACAACTCCGTGTCGGCGTCTTTGATCTGGCGGTCGAGAACCAAGCAAGACGGAATGGTGCTATCTCTGTTAGATTCGAGGGAAAAGTCGGGCCCGGATTAAACAATTTTTTTATTATTGAAAAAATTGAAAACCTTGGCGTAATAAGGTTGGTTACATGCCATATTAAGTAAGTTTTGGGAAATTAAATTTTTAATTTGTTTTAAATCTGTCAAATATAATTAGAAACATTATTTAAATATAAATATTACGAAAAATAGCACATCTTTCGGATTAGAGGTAAAATAATTTGTATGTGGCTAGTAAAGTCCTCGTTAACAAATGTTTTGAGCTAAAACAGTCACTTCACGACAAATTGTGGCTTGGATCCTTTTTACACCAAGGGCTTCAATTGCTAAAGAATTGTGTCACGCTCGTGGATGCAAATCAAGTGGTACCCCGTGTCTCTGGCAAGTGTTACTCTTCGCGCAAAGGGTTTATACCTAGATAAACGAATGCTTCGACTGAGGTCTGGGTACTCTATGGTATTTTGGAATTATAAAGAATTTGTGCTTTTATTTTAACAATATTGGTTATATTAATTGAAATACAGATTTGTAGAAGTAATACTTTGACAGTTTTTATTAATAAAATATATTCAATTTTTATCTGACCATACCGAAGTAGGGAATTTTGAAACTTTATAGTAATGTGAAATTTGAATTACAATATTACACGATATTACATAATTAGTACTTATTTTAGGTAGGTACTAAATTTGTACTTGGAGAAAGTAATATCGATTTTTATAAGAAAACTTGAAAAGTAAATTAATTTAGTTCCTATTTCTGATGTAAAACTTAAGTTTTGGTTTAAACCAAGAAAACAAATAAATTATAGTTTGTTCAACAAGGGTGGATATGATAGCAATATCACACAAAGACGAAGTTTGAGCACGACGTCGTATGCGGAGTACTCAATCGTCTGATTGTGATATGAACAATCCACTCGATATGGTCAGTATATTTTTTCTACGACCCACTAACGAAAATCTACAAATTTAAAAAATTATTTTAGGTTATTTAGACAAAATAACTAATTTTAAAATAATTTACGAAGTTGGCTAATTTATAAAATAAAATAAACATGAAAAAATAATTAGTCCTCGGCCTAGATTCGATCCCGGGCTTTTCGCGTGGAAGGCAGATGCTCTGTCCTCATCTTCACCGAAACTTTCAGGACTTTAGTTTTAATACTCGTAATTAAATTAGTATCATGTAGTTTGATTAAAATTTATTTTTTTTTAAATGTGGACACAATAAAAACAAAAATGCTATTATTTATCGAGTCTACACAAAAATTTTAATGTATATTTAATATCAATAACTAAAATATATATTGACAATTAGTTTAACAGAATTGTCACTTATTTAAAAAAAATTAAATAATAGGAGTTGGGTGACCAAAATATGAACTGTGATTTGTAGATTTAATTTTGTTAAAGTGTTCTCACTACCTAAAATGGATATGAAATATATTCGTAGTTGAACGCAATAACATACTTTTTCGTTTTGTAGTATGTGCAGAGATTGGCTAATATCCATGCACAGATTACAAAACGAAAAAGTATGCTATTGCCTTCAATTGAACGAATATATTTCATATCCATTCTAGGTAGTGAGAACACTGCAAAAAAAAATAAATTCGCCAATCACCGTTCATATTTTGATCAACCGACTGCTATTATTTTTAAAATTTTAAATAAATGACAATTCTGTCAAACTAATTGTCAGTATATTTTTTAGTTATTGAGATTAAACATACAATAAAATAAGTTATTCTTTTGGAAAACGTTAGCATGGATGACTAAAGGGTATTGGGTTAATTAATTCTAAAAGTGTGGTACAAATGTTATTTTTTGTAGCCAATTCTTCAAAATTATTTTGAAATATCTTTTCAATATTGAATATTAGTTCTACAAATGCATCATTTGACAGTTGCAGATTTCCAAATGTATCTGGATTGGCGTTATCATATGCCTTTAAAAAGCAATAAAAAGAAAAATCATCTAATTCAACGTGATCTTTGTTATATTTAAGACAGGTATCGCAGAGGAGTGGATCCGCAAGGCTTTTATTAAAAGGTAACCACACACATACCTGATAAAATTTTTCTGTATCAATTCGTCTTTACAATAATTTAGGGTGTTAATAATTTTATCATAAAATAAAATACAAGGTGTTCCATTTAAAAAACATACATTTTAATTTGCCAGGCAAAAACGTGACACCCTGTATATCCAAAGATATTTTTAAAATATGTAGGTATTTTTCAAATCCATATAACTTTTATTTAAAACTTTCTTGAGTGTCTACAACAAAATAATGAACAATAACGCACTAATGGGATACCCTGTATAAATTATATTTTTAACAATGAACATTTCTTATAATGTGGTACTTATCGGTTTGGGTTCTTGGGAAAACTAAAGAATGTTTTCTTGCAGGTATAACCCTTATTAAAACAGCTTTTGACTGCACAAACAGAATGATGTCTTTTTTTTTTCACTCATTCTACTCATAGCTAAAGAGTCACCAAAATAATAACAGTACCTTTAACTCAAACAAAATCAACGAAATTATAGGCTCCACGAAATTATACAATCAACGAAATTATAGGCTCCACGAAATTATACAATCAACGAAATTATACGCACGACTCAACACCTTACCTAAGTACGCTTCTGAACACCAAAACCGTCTTTTCCCTTCGAAGGCGGAGCTTAAGCGATGCGCGACGAAATCGACGCAAACCGTTGCCGCCAAGAGAGTGTTTTAGCTGTATTGTTAAGCTGTGGTAGAACCGTTATATCAATATATTTTTGGCAGTGGCTAGGTAGCCGGTACCGGCAACTGTTTTCGTAGCCGGTAGTTGACCAGGATTGATCGAAATTCAGAGGGCGGAAGTACCGTACCAGTTACGAACTTTGCTGCCGGTAATTTGTAGGTTACGTTTAACGTTGCATGTTTGTTGACAACGAGGTCGAATATCGGTGATAGTTGAAGTTTTTTGTCTTTGTTATCTATACCAACTGAACGTAACCTTTTTTCTACGTTCTTTGTTTCTGATTAATATACAGGGTGTTAAAAAAAAGTGTCACAAAATAAAACGGGGGGTAGTATGGGCCAAAATATGCAGAAAATTTTTAATAAACATATGTCCGCAAATGAATGGTTTCAGAGATACGAAGTGTTGTGTGTTTTGTATCATTTTTTGATTTTTTTTTTCATTCTCAAAAACTTGCTTTTCTTATCGGAGTCTACCGATGTTTTTTCATAGATACTATTTGCAGTTATTTTGTTGTGGGTGAATAATTTTATAAATTTTCGTTATGCCTGTTTACACTAATATTGAATTAGCTGACATGCATTTTATGTACGGTCGTGCAAATGGCAATGCATTGAAATGGAGGGAGGGCACT